ACACAGCTGCACCGCGGGCCTGCCTACCCCACGCCTCACAGGCGCTCTGCTGTCTCCCGTGCCCGCTGGACACAGCTGCACCGCGGGCCTGCCTACCGCACGCCACACAGGCGCTGTGCACTCACCCTCGTAGAGCCAGTCGGGCACGCCGTTGGAGATGACTCCGGGCACCGCACTGTTTGTGATCCGGTACGAGCGCGTGGCGTTGGCGCTCGGTTTGTAGTAGATATCGTAGTCGTAGACCATGAGCAGCGCGCTGCCGCGGCCCGCCCAGGCGGCGTCTAGAAGGAAGGGTGGTCCTGGCGCCAGCGCCGCGTTGGGAGGCCCCGGCGGCCCCACGGGGCCCAGAGGCCCTGGTGCGTGGGCGGGCGGCGGCGGCGGGGGCGGCTCCGTGGGCGACAGCGGCACCAGGTCCCCCGTCGCGATGTTGTATATGGTGTACTGCGCCAGGAACGAGTACCGGAACAGCTGCGAGAAGCAAAGGTTAGCGGGGAGAAGGGCGCGTGGGGGAGGTGAACGCGAGCGCTAAGTGGAGCAGTTACCTTTTGGACGTTGTACCCGAGTAAGACATATTTGTGGTCCGGAGAGACGTGTATTTTGGATGGATTCAGCCTTTTCTGTAAGGGGGACGAACGAAAAAGAAACCGGTCATTGGCAAAATCAATAACCAGAAACAGGAACAGAACATCGCGACCACGGCCGTGTGCCACTCACCAGAGTCGTGTTGCTGATGAGGGTGACGGTGGTGAGGTTGCGAGCGTGCAGGACGCTGAGCCCGCCATACTGGTCCAGCAGCACCAGCTCCTCGTCTACGACAGAGAGGGACAGCGTCCAAGTCAGCGCCAAGGACGGCACCACGAGCAACACAGCCGAGGCTGCCGCTCCCCGCACGGCACCGCGGGGCACCGCGGGGTGTATTACATCATACAGGCAAACACACTCACGTGCGCCGCTAAATGGCGGGGAGCTGATGGCCCTCAAGACAACACGACGGCCGTGACGTGACGCCCCCCACCCCTTCCACCCCGGGCGGCACGCGCGGGGCCGGGCGCCGGAAGGGGGTGCGGGTGGGTGGGGGTGAATGGAATGCCTTGCTCTGCACAGCGGAAGCGGCAGAGGGACCCCCCTCCTCCCTCCACCAGTTCACACTACATTATTCTCTAGCCGGCTCGGCAGACAGAGTGCGATTCTCTCCTAGCCACACAAAGCCATGATTCATCGGCCGAGCCCGAGCCTTACGTCCGGGGTGGGCCTCGTCCGGGCCGGGCGGCTGGGCCGGCGTAGAGTCATTGCCGAGTAACGTCCGAACGCCCCTCTCCTGCGCCGGACAGGGCGGCCCCAAACTACCGACAACTAGAACTAGAAGTTTGAGCCAGTGGGGCCTCCCTTCCACACGCCTGCCTTCTGGACGTGCAGATCCACGCGCGCTACGAATATACCTACAAGGCCCGGTGGATGAAGGGTTGGTCGTTCCCCCCATCAAAGCTGTTAGGCGGGGAGAGGGGGGGGGGTATGGCTGCATCGTACCGTGAAGAAGAAAGGAAGCCGAGTCGAGGTTCAGGACGAACTTGAGGTGTCTCATACGACGCGGTGCGGGGGTGGGGGGTTGGGGGCTATTACAACACTCCTGGGTCTTCGCATATCTACCACTCGAGTAGTGTGTGTGGAGGGGTCAGAGGTCGCCGCCGCTCGACGCCGAGTCACCTGGAGCCGAATTAATTATGGTCGTATACTCCCGCGGCCCACAACCACGAGCAGGGGGGGGGGGCGGCAACTGACGGCGTCAAGTCGAGCACCGCGGAGTGAGGAGGGGGAGGGGGAGATGTGTGGGAGGGTGGAGAGTAATTGGAAGGATGGGGCGGCTGGGCGACACACCAGGAGAGTGAAGGAGAGAGGGCTCAGAGGGGGAAAAAAACATCAACGATAAAGAAGAGGGGGAAAAGATCGTAAGAGGGAAGGAGGGAACGCAGCAAAGTCCTTACAGGAGGTAGGTAGGCGTGGGGAGCAAATGTAAAATGGCAAAGGCGTCGTTACGCGAGTAGTCATGGGCGGGGCCCCCCGCAGGGCCGGGCGCGGCGCGTGGGTCACGTCAAAGTGAGCAAGCAGGGCAGACCCGGGCGGAGCCTGCAGTTGGCAGTGGGGGTGCAGTGGGCTGGTGTCTGCTGGCACCTAGCGCACCCGATCTCCTCCTTTTAGACAGTCCCAAAGACTGTCTCTACCGTAAGGTAAAGTCCCCCCTCCCCCCTCCCAACCACACGCCAGTGTGAAAAATATCCTCTCGTAAATTTGCATTTGTTGTAATTTATTTATTTGCAAAATATGTTGCTAATTTGCGACGACATCCCATTCTTGATTGTCGATCAATTCCAAGTCTATACAAAATGTTTGTTTATTTACAATTTCAAATTTTAATTTTGTGACACACGACATGAAAACTTTTTCCCGTGAACCTCCGACTATTTTCACGATGCCCCCCAGATCCTAACACTGGAAAATCCTTGCAAAGAACTGGTTCATATTGCAAACAATTTTCTTTGCAGCTTGCAAACAATTTTGAATCATTGTCATACGAACTAGCTTTTCGCCAGTTTGCAAAATGTTTCTTTTCAATCCTAGCCCATTGTTTGCAATAATGCCGACAGCCAGAAAAGAATTTCTTTGCAATAGGAACTACTTCTTTACAATGCGATCGAAGCTCAAAAATTCTTTGCAACGTTGCAAAGAATGCAGTTTGCAAGCATTTTACAGTGCACTCTCTATAGGACAGAGCCGGCGCCTAGCGGGTGAAGGTTCGTATTCTGTTCAGGCAGGCCAGGCGCTGCCGTTTTTTGTCCACCACCTTCGGCCACTTTTGGGACGAGACAACTGGCCATGCCACGTGTCAATAGTCTCCCGGTGCCCGTATTTCCTTGCACAAGCAGCATTGGCAGGACGATTGAATATCCGGGGTTGCAATTAAGTAAGTGCGACACAATTTAGTTACATTGTTAATCATGCGGTGCGCGCTAGAGTGTTTAGTAGTCAGAGGGGGTCAGGGAGGTCCTCCTGAGGAGGGAGGGAAGGGGGGCTACTCGAAAAAAAATGTAGACATAGACCACAGACATACGAAAAATACAATACACAAATACACAAAAAAAATGTGTAAAAATCAACTTTTTGTGACAGTAGGTGATTTAGGGCACCTAGAACTCTAAGAAGACTGTGGTTCGACGCCAAACGTTCCTTTACAATTTTTCGATATGGAGCCTCTTTCCCATGTAGCACATATCGTTCTTAGAACCTTCAGAGAATCAAAAGAACGTCCTCAGAACGCTGTCTGGTCATTTTCACATTTTCGTCGAAAAATGCCCTCTAGAGCCTAAACGGTACAAGTTAGAGGTAAACGGACGATATTTTCTTCCTTGGAATCTACTTACACGAGTGACCTTTTAGAAAGCCTTTTAAAAAAATGAGCAAAAATATGCTTGTCAATCTGTGGTTTTTGATTTTTTTTTAAAGTTAATTTTTGAGGTAGAATGCTCATCTTCGAACTCGATCTGTGTTTTTGTGATACAATACGCCCCTGAAATTCCCAGATCGCTATCTAAATTCCTTCTCGAGTTATCGTGTGGACAGACAAAGGCACCCATAAACAAACAAACAGAATGGAGCTTTTTCAGTCAGTGCTAAAGGTGGATTCAGAGTTCACAAGATGCGAGCGTGATTTTCACGCCGCTAGCGTGAAAAGAGTTGTTTTGGTTAGCAGTTGACTTTATGCAACAGCCAATAACAGGCCGACGTGGGGCTATGCCAAAATAATGGCATAGCCCCACGTCGGCCTGTTATTGGCTGTTGCATAAAGTCAACTGCTAACCAAAACAACTCTTTTCACGCTAGCGGCGTGAAAATCACGCTCGCATCTTGTGAACTCTGAATCCACCTTAACGCTCAGCCAATCAGCCAATCAAAACACACGTCAAAAATACAAAGGTAAATACAAGAGATACACCTGGTGAAGCGTACACAGAAATACACGAGTTATCCCCCCCTTGAGTCTCCCAGCGGCGAGGGGCACCGGAAGTGCATGACACTGCACCTGCTGCTGGGCCCGACGCCGGGCCAGGTGGCGGGCCACCCACCCGCGTCGAGCACCGGTGCCTTCCACGCGACCGGTCAAAGTTCGCTGCCGCGCCGAGCCGAGCCGCTCCGCGCTGTGACGCGCCAGCGGCGACGTCAGCTCGAGGACGTAGACGACGACGGCAGTAACTGGCGCGAGGGCGTGCACGTGCACACTATAAGACAAATATTTGCGATTTTACCATGGGCTTGGCAACCTCAAAAAGCAAGCCTCGGGTGGTCAAAGTTTCCAGCCCAGGGAAAGTGCGGATTGACATTATTGACAAGCCCACGCGGCTATGAAAATGACGCGCCTACTGGGCGTTCTAGGCGAATCCACGCCACATGTCCACACAGCTGAGACCGCGCGTGCGACTGCCTCTCGGTCTAAACACTGGAAAAACCGAGACCTGAATACCTACATGTATGCAGCAAATAGTGAGAACATGGTCAGGTATACACTTAGCTTTTGGCATTGGGTTCCACGTGTGTACCTGGCCATGTACTCTATAAAAAGTTTGCGAAGAACTATTCTTTGCATTGCAAGGAATTTTGAATCGTTGTAAAATGCTTTGCATTCAGAACTAAATCCTTCACATTGCGAACTAGTTCTTTTGCACCTTACGAAAGAAAATTTCTCGTAACGCCGCAAAGAAATACTTCGTAACCTTGCAAACGATTTCTTTGTAACTTGCGAAGAAAATAGTTTGCAATGCAAAGAAAATAGTTTGCAGTGCAAACTTCCTTACAATGCTTCAAAGTTCTTTACAAGAATTTTGCAGTCTTTTTTTCTGCTTATTATGTACAATATATTCATGAGTGCGGATGGGTTGCTTACTCGCACGGGGCCGTAAGGCACCATGGCCAGCGACGATAGGCAAGCCCGCCCGCACGCATGAAGCCGGTGAAGTATAAGCAGAAAAAAAACACGGCGCACGCCGTGAAACTTTTAAAGTGTGTGGTCCGAGGTGGTCTTTTGACTCGTATGATGCATATATGTACATGGCAACGAAACGGGTGCAAACATATATATATGTAAAGTCAGCCAAACATGTAACCAGAACTATATGTAACATATGAACGTCTGGCACATGCATGTTACCAAAACGTATGGCAAGTGATGGTGACATAAAAGTATCATCATATCTGTCGAATGGTGTAAATGAATGGAACATACCTGGAACTCGCATGTACCACAAATGAAAAGGGTTTTTACGGTCACCCACCCTATACATGACCAAGTACGCACCATTTCCAGCATACATTTACACCCATCAAAATGAAAAGTTGTAGCAACCAGCGTATGGTTACTGCAGGGACAACCATAAAATATGGTTGAGCCAACAACAGCACAGGTGTATCAACCAAAAATACGGTTTTCACCACTGGCAGATCGTTGTCCCAACCATGTTTTATGGTTATCCCTGAAAGAACCATTAGATGGTTCCTACAACTTTTCATTTTTCTGGGTGTAGGTATTCACTAAGTAACGCGTACATGTGCACACTTGGGTTTCCAGAGTGCCTCCCACAGAAATGGTCGTTCAAAACAACTGGTACAGAACTACTTGCAGTTTTGTTAATGCTAAAATTTAATGATTAGGTAAAGAATCGCGCAAGACTTATCGACAAATCTTGTTTTGATAATACCACGTGACTTCGGCCGACGCCCCCCTTCCTCCCCCTCGTGACCGATCGTAGTATTTTGCCGAACCCCTCTCCCCCTAAAATCGGTTACGTATTATGGGTACGATCCCTATGACCCCCTATAGCATTTACATTGAAGACATAAGATACCTTTGTTATTCCAGTGTTGGGTTGGCGCCTGCGCCCAAACCTTACCCGACCCCGCCAGCCA